GGAGCGAAAAATGACAGCTGCCTTCATTACTTCCATAATAAAGGACGGGGCGCCCTCGGGTGGAATGATATTAAAAAACGCTCGGAAAAATTACTGAATCATAATACGGTATGAATAAAGTAGGACGAAAAGAGGCGTCCGTGACATTTTTATGGATCGCTTTTTGATGCGCGCGGGCCGCGCTACACTATGCGCCGCGGTCTTCATGTAGGGCGCTGGCGGGGTGACGGATATGGTCAAATGGGGACCGTGGCGAACTGAAGTTGCGATCATGGACTCATTTGCAACCACTCTACAAATCAACCAGTGTTGATTGGCTCCTCCTTTGGTCAAGCCTCCAAGCTCACCACTCGCACTGAAGTGTGCACGCAGGCACGCTCCAGCCAGCAGGAAGTGTGTCTACCGTGCACATCGCTCAGTTTGAAGAGCTGAGGGCCTGATTTCTGGCTTGGGAGTAAGGCTAGATAAGTAAGAGACAGCTGGTTCGTTCTACGCGCCCATGGCCAACGCAGCCGCGGTTGCAAGTTGCAAGCAGGGACGCTGTAAGTAGAGTGGTGGAAGGGGGGGGGGAGACGACACTACGGCCGAGTCCCTCAAAGGGCCATGAAGGCGAAACACCCTGTGGAATCATAGCGGCCCCACATCGCGTTGAATAGAAAGGAAATGGCAAGAAAGAGCGGAGCGTGTCAGCCGCCGGACAGATTGGCTTCCAATGGAGACGGATGAGGTGCAACCACACGTCGCGCGGTCCGTGCCGTACCGGTCGCCTGCCGGCCTCTCTCGCACTCACGGGGCGCCCCGCAGGGGTGCGACGGAGACAGCCCCAAAGCGCCCCTTCGGAGTGAGGCGGCAGTGGCGTGCCGCGCGTGGTCAACGTCCGCGGGGCGAAAGCACGCGAGCGCGCCACTACGCCACTGGCACTACGCCGATGGCATTTTGATGGCTTGTTGGCGGGCCGCGAGGCGAGAGGTCACGGCGCGGAGTCCGTGGCGGATGGGGCGCCATTCCAGCCGCACTATTAATTTGGTCCGTCCGTCCAGCATGGTTGGCCTCGTGATCCACTCGATACCTCCTAGCAACAGACACGTACTTCGGGCACGCTTCTCAAAACTCACGTACTTTCGGCAGCTTGTGCAACAAACACGCAGTTTCGCCATTTCTAGTCAAAAAGCACGCAGTTTCCGCATTTTCGTCCTGGCGGGCACGGAAATACATTTTGGGTATTTTTCATGGTTGGGCTAGTGAGGTACAGTCACTAAGTCACCATTAATAACCTCAAAACGGTTTCAGGAGTGATCTGCATTGAAATATTACAGGAAGTTTGGAGGTTAAAGGTGGGCAGATCGTTCCTGAAACCGTTTCCAGGTTATCAATGGTGACCTAGGGACTGCACCTCACTAGCACAACCACGAAAGTTACCCAAAATGTATTTCCGTGCCCGCGAGGACGAAAATGCGCAAACTGCGTGCTTTTTGACTAGAAATGGCGAAACTGCGTGTTTGTTGCACAAGCTGCTGAAAGTACGTGAGTTTTGAGAAGCGTCTCCGAAGTACGTGTCTGTTGCTAGGAGGTATCGCACTTACTGGCGTTCCTGTCCAGCACATCCGTTTTGGTTTAGGTTTGGCCTACCACAAAGATATTTCCTCACACCACTTACAGGATTTACGACACTGGAGTATTTAAATCCCAGTCTTCCATTGGGTTGCTCACTTCGTCTTCAACACATTTATCCACACACTAAATGTTGTACAGTGAAGATTCTCCATATTATGGTGAAAATGTTCCATATTATGGTGGTGCAGCTGACTTCGTAACATACCATTGAGAATTCACTGTACCTTATAGAGATTTTGACGAATTTCGTTGGTATTATGGAGAAAATCGCCACCATATTATGTTGGTGCAGCCTTTCACCGTAAGACATTTACTGTGCAATCTCGTCATCTCTTCATAGGACACATCATAGGACGCATCCATTCTGGCATACTCACACTATTTCGACACCTCCTAGGAACAAGCGGCTATCTTCCGAGAGCTTCCAGACACTCGGCTATCTCGCAGTAGCTTTCAGACACTCGGCTATCTTCCAATAGCGTCCAGACACTTGGCTATCTTTCTGAGCGCTTCGGAGACTCGGCTAACTGCTTTTCCCACTTCCCGAGTTTGGGTGCGTATATATTTTAAACCAGTTGAAATGCCCTCACCGGGACCTAACCAAAATGTGTCAAAAGTTTGTCAGAGTAGATTAAAATCATGGCGTGAGCATGTCTTGATAAGTGTAACAAAGAACACTGGAAAATCTAAAGCGTAACTCTATGCTTGAGTCAAGCATAGAGTTACGCTTGAAGACATTACGCTTGAAATCAAGCATAGACTAGAAATTCCCCCATGCATTTAGACAGGGGGAATCTTGGCGGATACGCCTGTTAGGCTTGATTTCAAGCGTAAACTGATTACGCTTGAAAACAGTGGGTAATACTACGCTTTAGTTTTACCAGTGAAAAACGCTATCGAAAGGACAACCCTAACCTCTCCGCAGAAGTCAGTTAGCCGAGTCTCCGAAGCGCTCAGGAAGATAGCCGAGTGTCTGGACGCTATTGAAAGATAGCCGAGTGTCTGGAAGCTACTGAGAGATAGCCGAGTGTCTGGAAGCTCCTGGAAGATAGCCGCTTGTTCCTAGGAGGTGTCGATTTTATCTAATTTGATGATTTTGAACCATATACAGGCATTCTAGTCTGTTCACCCTGCTCTAAGCCGCCGGGTGCTATCCAACCCCCGCCAGTCTAGTTTGCTCAGACTATTTCATCTCGTCCGCTCCCACTATTTCCCCTAGCTAGTCTGCTCTCTACTTTATCCAGTCTGGTGTGCTTCCCCGCCCGGTCCGCTCCCACTATTTCATCCAGTGTGCCCGCCCCATCGGCCCAGCCGGTCGCGGCAATCTTTCATTCATTCCGTGTCCGAGTTGTGATTGGCGTAACACGGAGATGAAGCAAGTATCACGAGCAGCATCGCTCTATAAGGGGCGAGCTCGCTAGCGCGGGGCCGAGACGGCAGAGAATCTGGCCGCGGTGAGGTGGGCGGAAAGAGGGAGCGAGAAAGAGCGGCAGATGGCGCTGCAGAGAGAGAGAGAGAGAGAGAGAGAGAGAGAGAGAGAGAGAGAGAGAGAGAGAGAGAGAGAGAGAGAGAGAGAGAGAGAGAGAGAGAGAGCGGCCGCCTGGAGACTCACGCCCGCCGCCGGGCCGCCGCGACGAGGACGGAGTGAGAGGGCGAGCGCGCGAGAGGGAAGGAAGGCATAAGCCAGCATCGCGATGAGCGCGGCGAGCGAGGGAGCGCGGCGTTATGACAGGGAGGGGGTGGGCGTGGCCGCGCGGCCCTCCCCACGCCGCCGCACCGCCAGCCAATGGCGGCGCAGGGCGGGAAACCCATCAGCCAATGGCGGCGCGCCGCGGCCCGGCCAGGACCCAATCAAAAGCACATCAATCCCGAGGCGCGGCGCGGCGGCGCGCCAAGAAGGGGATGCGAGGAGCGGCGAGGAGCGGCGGCCGCGGACCGGAAGGAAGGCGCGGGGCGGGGCGGGGCGGCCGGCCCTCGAGGTAAAAGGATTATAAACACAATCAAGGCGGCATTATTGGGGCCGGGATCGGGATGAACCGTCTCGGAGTCCCTTATCGGGCTTTGGCCGAGGACGCCGAGGGGGACGCACGGGCTGCGTCGCCCTCACGGCGACAGGACTGTTTCACGGAGGGAGCCCCCAGTCACACCTATGGCCTACCTTACCTTTAGCGACACAGCTTGTTGCCTATCTTTAAGGCGGTGCATTGTCTGACGAGGAAGTGGCGCACCCACTGCACGGCCACGACGGCCAGGGTGCCAGTCTGCGGACAAACAGAGAACAAAGTCAAGTGACGTCGCGCCAGTTTGTGCCGTTTTAAAGAGGAGTGAAACGCCCTGCCGTGCGGCCTGCGAACGCACTGGCGAGGGGCCTGGCTGGGGGAGCCCCTCCGTTGTCGCGCTGATTTAGACAGCGGTCGGGGCGGAAAGATTGCGGCCGAGCAGGTTGCCTACCGCGCCGGGGCAGAGCAAGGGCACCGCCAGGGCCATGAATAAGGAAATGGAGCGAACTCGAGTGTGCGGGGCGGTGCGGGGCGGCGGGGAGGGGAGGCGTAGGGAGGGGGTGGGGCAAGGGGTGGTCCGCACCACCGCGTTTAGCGCGCTTCCGCTGATTTAGAGAAGGGGCTCGTAGAAGGCTTTGGCCGCGGTGATTTTCATTGAGCGGCGGACGACCAGGAACAGGACCCCGACCAGGACCCCAACGAGGACCCCGACGAGGACCCCGACGAGGACCCCGACCAGGACCCCGACCAGGACCCCGACCAGGACACCGACCAGGACCCCGACCAGGACCCCGACCAGGACCCCGACGAGGACCCCGACGAGGACCCCGACCAGGACCCCTACCAGGACCCCTACCAGGACCCCGACCAGGACCCCGACCAGGACCCCGACCAGGACCCCGACCAGGACCCCGACGAGGACCCCGACGAGGACCCCGCCGTGGCGGAGGACACATCTCAGCACATCGATGAGGGCCCCACCGTGGAGGACGCCAAGGACGACGACCCCGGCTAATAGACTGCAGGAAGCGCAGCAGACCATCGCCGATTATGTGAACAAAAGACTGAATGAATCGCAGCTCAAGACGGCGGGGCAGGGCGTCCGCGGGGGTGCGCCGCGGGGGCCGGGGGCCGGGGGCGGGGCCAGCAGCTTGTTAACGATTGTAAGGCCCCTCCATGCCTCCCCCACGCCGCCTCAGGCCGCCGGGCTAACGCCGGGCGCGGAGGGTGGGGGACAAGTCCGGGCGGGCAGACGGACGGCGGGGAGCGGCCGGGCGGACGGACGGACCGGCGGCGCGGAGAGCAGCGCTCCGGAGCGGAGCAGCGGAGCGAGCGGACCCCGGCGTCGCCGTCATCGTCCTGCTAATCGTACCCGAACAGTCGGCCGGGCAGGACGTGTGCAGGACGCAGTGCTCCGCGACGCAGCGACGCGCGGCCCACGTGACGCGGAGTGTGTGTGACAACGCAGTGGTGTGACAACGCAGTGACAACAAAGTGACAACGGTGTGACAACAAAGTGGCTTAGGGCGATCGTCTTGGATTAGATCCCCGAATGCTGCATGCTTCCCGCCGCTGAGGACAGGTCACTAGGGCCTCTGGCGGGGCCTCTGGCGCTGGGCACGGCCATCGGCACCGTGGCGGCCTTCGAGGCGCTCCCGCTGCCCCGGCAGGCCGGCCAGGGCGGCCCGGGGCAGGGCCAGGCGTCCTCGCAGTGCGCCGACGACAGCTCGCGTTCCTCCCTGTGCAGCGAGAGCCCGCCGCTGTCCCGGCACGGCATGCTGGACCTGTCCCCCAACCCGTCCTCCATGCTGTCCTTCCTCAACGCCGGCGCCGGCGGGGGCTTCCTGCTCGGCAACCCGCCCCTGGCCGCCCTGCACTCCATGACGGAGATGAAGAACGGGCCGCTGTACAGCCACCTCAGCCCCGGGTCCGGTAAGACGAGCCCCAACAGCTCCACGTCGTCGGGACACACCACGACCGGCGTCGTGGCCAACCCCCACGGCATCGACCACATCCTCAGCAGGCCGGCCGCGGTCACCGTCCCCGGATCCTCCCCGCAGAGCAGAGGTGCGCGACAGCCGGACACCGGCTCACTTTTATCACTCCTTTTTGTTTTTGTTTTGTTTTTGCATTGAGTCGAGCTCGCGCCGCGTTTGATTCCGGCGCCGGGCCGCCCTTATTTTTATTGTCAAAATAGATCACGAAATAGCGGTAGCTCCCACGTTGACAGCCATAATTAAATTATAGCTATAATTATAACATGATTAATTTTCATATCACATCCGCAAGCAGTGCAACAAACCGCCCCCCGGCGCAAACCCCACCCCTTTCGCAAGGCTGCATGAACACAACACACTGTGCTGCAGTGGAACGAAAACGTGTTGCTTGCTTTCGTAGACAACTCTTCCCAGACTGTGTCACTGCGATGGCCGCCGAAACCGTCCCCGAGGGCTGTCTCTGTGGCTGTTTGTCAATAAGACGGCACTGCAAAATCGACGTCACAGATCCGCCACGGCCGATCGACTGCTCGGAAACAATTTGCTGGCCTCCTTCCGCGGTTTCGCCCTGTCGGGCGCGCGGCTCGGCCGAAATTGACTTTGCTCCGCGGCGCGACGCGTAACAGCTGTTCCTAATTATGGCAAGGGTCGGTGTTGGCCTGTTGGGGTGAGCCGTCATAATCCGGAGCACTAGCGCGCCAGATCGCCAGATTGATCGCGCAACATTTAACATATTTAATCCCGCCGCCGCCCGCAGCCCGAAAGGGCCATTGTCACTGTATCGTAGGCAATACTCGAAAGCAAGACAAATCTGCATAAATATGTCGCGCGTTAACTCGGCTGTGGCACCAACAGAGGCCACGCACCACTGCAGACTGAATTTGTAACTGAACTATAGCAGAGTCAAGTCAGACAAAGCTAACTGATTGAGATGGTCATTCCAAACAAGCAAAAACAACTAAAAGCAAGTTTTAAAAGGGCTCATTTCATTTCACATACTTAATATTATTTCTACAAAGAGTGTACGAAACATTTTAGTTTCTTTTGTAAAGATGTTTTTTGACGCAATTTCGAAGAAAAAAAAAGCAGAAATGTGCACTCTATGAAAACCTTACAAACTATTTAAGGCCTTAGAAAGAAAAGCAGCGCGTTCTGAAACGAAGTTTGTCGAAGTTCGATGCAGTTCAAGTGGTGACAGCTAAATGTTCGACACAGCTGAACGCGGCCATCCTGACAGGCGTCCTTGCTAATCAGCCTCTTCTCCCCCTGCTGTCTATTATCGCGTGTAATTAACTTAGACGCGTGGCTCGGCCGCCAGCGCCGCCAGCGCCGCCAGCCAGCCGATATGATAGCCGCGCCCCACCTGTGGGCCGAACGCAATTAGTCGGCAAACAGGGCTTAGCCGACACGTCCCGCTTTGGCGGTATTATTAAACGTGGCCTAGTTTCCGTGGCCGCGATGCGCGACGATATGACGGCTCTTGTCACTTCCTGCCTTTCCTGATTTCCGGGCAGAGGAGCAGCAGCGTGACATTGCCAAGAAATGAAACAGTGCACTGCGGCAAAAAGCTACGGAAAATTCTGTAAACAGCTTGTGGTAATTCTCCGTTGCCCCCTTATCAATATTCTCCGTTGCCCCCTTATCAATATTCTCCGTAGGCTCTTACAGTATTTTCCGTAGGACAGCACAGTATTCTCCGTAGGACCTTACAGTGATCTCCGTAGGACGATACAGTCTTCCAGGTACTACGGAGAAGACTGTGCGGACTTACAGGGAATACTGTACGGCCCTACGGAGAATACTGTAAGAGCCTACGGAGAATATTGATAAGAGGGCTGCGGAGAATCCTGGCAAAAAAATTAACAGAATTTTCCGTACCTTTTTGCCACAGTGTGGAGCTTTGGCTGGAATAGTCCAATTGCACTCATCCCCACAGTCCGGACAACGGACGTTTTCAGTGCGAGCGGGTGTTTGACAAAAACGTCAAATTTCCATTACATTTTCAGAAAGGTTACAGTACATTTTAAAATTCAAAATTATGAATGGAAGGTATACGACAGGAGAGTTTTTCGTCTCGAACGAACCGTAGCATAGTTCCCGCTGACCGTGGAGGGCAGGCCGTTTTGCCCTGCTCGCCCACCGTTTAGGTCTCCGCGACGCTACGCCGCGCGCCCCGCGCTCACGGCCCGCTCCTGTTCCAGGTTCGCTGCCGCGGGGCTTCAGCGTGTCCGCGGGCATGGCAGCCGCCAACATGGCAGCCAACATGGCGGCGGCCAGCTACTTCCAGCAGCAGCAACAGCAGCAGCAACAGCAAGCCGCTGCGGCGGCAGCTGCAGCAGCGGCGGCCGCGGGCAAGCACCCCGGCGGGCCGCACCACCACGGCCACCCCGGCAGCCACCCGGGCCACCCCGGCCACCACCCCCACCAGCACGCGCTGGCGGACCTCACAACCCGCTCGGGCATCTACTGGCCGGGGCTGCAGGGCCTCGTCAGCAACCCCCTCGTCTGGAGGGACAAGCTGAGCAACAGTGAGTACCACCTTTGGGTCTTAAGTACGTCGTAGTCTTGCTTCGGGGCAAGGTTGTCAGAAAATAAGGCAAAAGCAGATCAAACACACAGGGAGTGAGACTTGCTACTTCAATGTGCAACTTCTCATCACGGCAGTTGGGAAGCTGCCCGATAGCACACCGCACCCCAGTGTCTTTGGTATCCTTCAGCCTACCTTTCTGACGGCAGTGCTTCGGGGTCGTCCAGCGGGTGTTCTTTGATTTGGGTCGGAGGGGCTGTGCTCTTGGTGTCCTTGAGGCCGGGCTAAGCTCGGTGCCTCGAAAGGGCGTGGCGGGGCGTGGCGTGTGCACCTCGCCATTACGTGGCGCTCATCAGCGAGCGGGACGCCAAGTTTGGCCGTTGCTTTCAAGGGTAACGAGCACTCGGCGTCAACAGCGGCCCGGATTGGTTCGCGGAACGCCGCGTCGGGGATTCATATCCATATTCATACACCTCCCGCCACCGTCCGCCCCCGGCCGACGCCCACGCCGCGTCACCTCGCCGCGTCACCTCGCCGCGTCACCTCGCCGCCCGTTGAATCCGACCGAAAACGGGAAACCGGGGAGGGCCAACCATGGGCCAACGCGTCACCGGTCCGCCAGCCAAAATCCGTAACCATGGCGACAGCGCACGCCCTGACTTAAACCGCCTATTTACACGGCGATTATGAAGCAGTTATGAAGTCGCCACGGATCACCGGAACGATTCTCTCGCCAAAGGCAATTTATCCACTTTTTATGGCATTCCGCTCCGTTTTTATGCCTTTCATCCGGTCGCTTAATTATAATAAAAAACGTGCCGCCGGCCGGAGCGGCACATTTGCCCGTGAAATCGGTCGGTGGGGGTGCGGTGTGCCTCCCGTCGGTGAGGTCCGCGCAGAACCGCCGATGGTGGGGGCGGATTCTTTAATGGTAAATTTATTGCTGCCAAATTTCAAATTGGAATCTTGGTGGTGTCTGGGACTGCGTACTGTGACTGCGTACTGTGACTGCGTACTGTGACTGCGTACTGCGACTGCGTACTGCGACTGCGTACTGCGACTGCGTACTGCGACTGCGTACTGCGACTGCGACTGCGTACTGCGACTGCGTACTGCGACTGCGGACTGCGTACTGCGACTGCGTACTGCGACTGCGTAATGCGACTGCGTAATGCGACTGCGTACTGCGACTGCGTACTGTGACTGCGTACTGTGACTGCGTTTGCCCAATAGGGTACTTTCGTAGATCCTGAAACCGGAAGCAAGCAGACCAGCAGACGCCAAATTGGCCGGAAACTAACCTCTCTTCGGATCTAAAACTATAGCCGAGCTGTAAAAATATTGCTCGCGAAACACATGCACTGCAAACAAGTATTAAACGACTGTTTATGTTCAAGTGTGGCCGATACGTTTGACTAACGTCTCTTTCCCACGTCAAGTTTGGATCTACTTCCGCCAACATGGCGTCTGTGTGCTTCCGGTTCAGGGATCCACGAAAGTACCCTATCGTGATACTGTGTGTTTGTGTGTTGGTATGTGTGTGTGTGTGTGTGTGTGTGTCGAACGTGCGTGCGCGCGGGCGTGTGGGTGTCCGGGCGGAACAAGGGTCTGAGAGGGGATATAGATAGCGCGAGATCCAAAGGACGACGCTATGCGTCATTAGTATGCCATATCAGGCACACGTCGATTAGACGAGGTTCACACCTCCATTGACGCCTGCACTGACAGGAAAAAAAAAGGGGCCACTGAACGGAGTAAAAAAATACAAAAACAAAATTAACGGCAGTAAAAGTAGTTTGTAGTGGGCGTAAGCTGCCCTGCCACTGCTTCGCGGCTGCAGCAGCATGCGCTGTATGACGACATGTAGAGCAAGAAGGAGGATGAAGGACCGGAGGGGAGGTCGGTTACGTAACACGCTGAGTTATGGGTCTCCTGCAAGTAGCGGCTGCTGAACCACCCCGTCAGTCACCGCCCCCTAAACATCCCTGCGTTTTGCACCCCATTCCCCCTCCTCCCGCCTAGGCACGATTTCACGTTGACTCCTCTTCTGTTCTTGGCCCCTTCCGCTGGCTTCCCCGCCGAGGCCCACCCCTCTCGCCCTGCCGCCCTCACACACACACACACACACACACACACACACACACACACACACACACACACACACACACACCCTCCCGAGCAATGATTCAATTGAATGTAATCCTCATGTCCGCCCCCGGCACATGTGCGGCAAGGGTTCCGCAAACTGGCGTAAGAGCACGCGCCGCCCGGCGCAGTTACGCTGTTCTTTGGCTGCGCACGGCCTCCTTGACGCGTCGCCGCACGCGGTTTGCCCTTTTTATTACGCGGATTACGCGATTTGTTGGCCACCGCCTGCTAAGGGAAGCGTCTTCTCTATCACGCAGCGGTTTGTCCGTCCGGGTAGCCCCGCGATAAGCTATCAACAGAGAAGCGGAAACGCGGCAAAAGGAAACCAGGAGTACGGAAACAACGTATCAGGCAAAATTTGTTGAAACTTTTTTAAAAAAATGCGGTGTAAGTTACAAAACAGGGCCTGGAGATTAAGTAGGAAAATAGATATGTATCGGAAACGATCTCGAAGACCGCAGAGTGGGACGCCAACTTTATCCTCGGCTGAGGCGCCACTTGCTGCGAAGACCACACGCACATTTATTAGATAAAGCAAAAAGAAACTGCGGCCAAACACTTTCTTTCCTTCGTTTTTCCCCCTTCGCGCAACCCCCGCCCGCCCTCGCTCGTGTGTGTGTGTGTGCGTGTGTGAGTGTGCGCGCGCGCGCGTGTGCGTGTGTGTGTGTGGATGTCACCGCTGTGCTTTTCGCTGCCTCGTGCTATTTTTTCCCTCCGTTCTTTTTTTACTCCGCACATCTTCTGATAGACGAAATAAAATCCCTTGCCAGAGGCGAGTCCGATGAAACTGTTTTGATTTTGTGGGAAACACATGCGATATCATGACGCATTGCCTGGAGGAGGAGGCGGAGGCCGACTGGGGGTGGTGGGGTGGTGTGCGCGCAGCCCGGCCAAGCCGCGCAGGCCAGCCAACCCTCCGGCAAGGAATTTCTCTGGTTACGCTTCACTTTACACTGTTGATTTTCTCCCTTGCGGGACACAGTTGTCAGTCGCCGCTGGAGACTCGGAGTTTCCTTCCCCGTCGTTGGCCAGACCAGCGCTGCAGCTCCGTTTGGCACAGCGGTGAAAAACAGTGTGAGTGTGGAGTGAGTGCACTTGCACTACTTTTTTGTTCCACGCGGCTGCGGATGCCGCTTCAATATTTCGCGGATTTCATTTGCCTCGGAGAGCAGCAATTTCTGCCCCGGCCGGGCCAAAGTTGGCCGCCCCTCTTCTTTCCGCCGGACTCCGTGCCGCTCCTTCCGGACGTCAAAACAGAGAAAAAGCGGCGGGCGGGCGGCGAGCAAACCGCCATCACCAAATTGATTTAACATTTTTTCTGCTCGCCGCGACGTCCGGCCAACTTTGATATCGTGGAATGTGTGTGCGGTGTAGTAATCGAGTTACTTCTTTCTCTCCTCGCCTCCCTCCGCCTCTCCTTTATTTCTGCGGCCACACCAGCCGACGCGGCGCCCCCTGCCGCCATCCCGCGGAGAAGCCACGACCCGAACCGTGGACCCGCTCGGCTCGGACCGACAAAACTGGAACATTTCTAATCCGAGCTCATTCTTATTAATCTTGGATCTTGTTCATTCTCCGGCGAACACCCTTCCGCCGGTTCACCGCCGCTCCCCTTCTTCTGGCTCATCTTCTTTACGGCTCTGCTGTTGCTACTTTTATGTGCCTCCCTTCCGGGATGGTTCCGGGATGGCGTGGGAGGGGAGCAAGGCATGTAACTTGTTCAAATGATTGGTCCGTCCACGACGACAGGGCGGACAAGGCGGCAGGATTGCTGAGTCCTGATTGATTGGCTGGACCCTGCTTGCCATGGCTTGGCCCGGCTTGGCCGCCCCCTCGGTCAACAAAACTGTTTCATTCTATCCGACCGCATCACTTGTCTCTCACTTCCTCGCTTCGCCGTCAAACGGAGACACACTTGCCGGAGATTGCGGGGCCGACAGTGTAGCGCCGAACTACACTGCTCATCCAATACGACAGATTTCGCGTGCAGAAACAATTAGAAAAGTGCCGACATTAACAGTGGCAGCAACAATGCAATGGCAGTGCCCGATGCCATCAAACAGCGTTCGGCCCCATGGTAATGGTAATTAGTGTCATCGAGGGCCTCGGCGGGCACGCCGCCCCGCTCGGCTTATCCGCGTCGCATTACTAGCCGAACATTGTTATCATCGCACGCGCATTAATTACAATTGAGGGGGCGTCATGGAGCGGCAGCACAGGGGCAATTTCCGATTTTGAGGCGCATCGCTTAGTTTAAGGTAATTTTTTAAAAATCATTTTTCTCAATTTGGAAAGATGAAAGGGGAATTTTTAAAAAGTTCACTGCATACATTTATGCTTTTCGTACAGAAAGTTAACTGAAAAGGTAAATACCTTTTTTTGATTTGTTTTAACTGCTGGTGTATGTTTGGTCTTGGCGTTGTTTCCCCCGCTGGAACAAACAGGGTCCGACACAGTGCCCTAATAACGCTCCCGATGAAGATAGCGCCCCAGCAATTAGTCGATAAGTGACAATCGCGCGGCCTTATGTCACAGCCGGTGTGACGTCACCCCGACTAATGATGCCCAATGGCACTGCGTGGCACTGCGTGGCACTGCGTGGCACTGCGTGGCACTGCCCGTTCGATACCCGATAGTGACGCGGTTACCGCGGCGCGCCACCCAGTCAGGCGGTCAGCGCCAATGAATCATGAGCCGGCATGGCGACAGCGCGCGCGGCATCGACGAACCAATCCAGTTAATGCACTTCACCAGCACCGCACGCGCGCCCATTCCTAGCCTTGTTTACATGCACTCTGCGCGAACCCGGGGCAAGGAGACCGATTTGGGCCCTACGATCGGTGCATGTGGACC